ATGTAAGAAACGAACAAAGAAATCTGTGTATAAATAAAAGGGAATGTGCGTATATGTATATACATAAACGGAAAAACTATTCAACCGATTTTGCTGAAATGTTCACATTTGTTATTAGTAATGGGAGTGTTTAAAGAGTTGCTCTAGATTGATTCTGTTCGTTCCTTAAAAACGACCTCAGAGAGAAGAAATACATTATTGAAATAATGGACCTTTCTTACACCCCTTTCCTATTCTTTGCCAATTACATGTGGAGTCCAGCTGGGATCGATTTTAAGCCCTATTCTCTACAATACGTAAACGATACGTCCTCGACGATTAGAAACGGAAGAATGGTTATATTTCCTCATGAAACGAATATTCTTTGCAATAAAGAAACCGTAAATAGAACAATAGCAGATATTTCAAATTGTTTCCGTAATATCAAATTAATAGTGAATGAAAAGAAAACGGTTTCAATGTAGTTTTCTTTTTCAAATAATCTGCTCCATTGAAAATGAACGGTGTGCCATTGTTAAGGTAACAAAATTTTTAGGTCTTTCAATTCAGTCAAACCTAATTTGCAACGTCAACTTAAATGAATTGAGCAGTAAATTAAGTTCTTTATGCTACGCTTTCATAATTCTTTCAAATTCAGTCATCCTCCATGCTGCTCAAGTATATTTTGCGAATTTTCATATGTCGGTCTGAATTATTACTTGAATTTGTGACAAGTAAATTAAAGTTCTCCAAGATAGCGTCATAGAGAACGCATACGCAAATTTGGGAGAGAAGTTTTAGCAACAGAATACTTGACAACCACTTCCAAATCAGGACATGGGACGAAACCACACATGCTTTCATCTATTAGAATATCTGCGTTAGTGTGTGTTGTGTAATATACTGCAATAGCGAAACATTGATGGCTCACTAGTATTAAATAATATACAAATATCCACTTAGATAGCACCCACCTCCTTGTCATTACCATACATTTTACTTTCACGAAGCGCTGTAATTTCGGAGCGGGCGATATATTTTTGAATCCCAAATTACGGCGTTTAAGGCGTTCACGCCGTTAAAATGCACATTTCCAGCAATTTTTAAACACTGTAGTATTTGTGAATTAAATTACTTCAAATGTCTGCAAATGTATATTTTCTAAAAATCGAAAAATTTCTGTGAAAAAGCTACTGAAATGTCGAATTTACAGTTCGCTTAAACGCCCTTTTTTAAAAAACAGCTGCAAATTTTCAAAGAAAATTGCAATTTAGAGGTTGTACTGTATTTATTATTCATAAGTCGATCCGGATAGCCGATATCGCCAAGGTAGTAGTATCGTGGCGATCTCGGATCGAAGGATCGCGGTTTCGAATCCCGCCTCGTCTATGGATGTATTTGTGATCGCCCCTTCACCCTTCTTCATCATCATCCTATTAATTCATTGAAACTAAACTTCACTCAAATTCATTAAAGAAGGATTAATAATTCCCTGCGCGAGCAGAAGGCCCTTGCCCTTAATGGGATGTGCAGTTGGCCACTAAAAAAGTATATTCAAAAAAATATTTCCGTTCTACTATTAGGAAACCGAAAAATTAAGTACTTTGGGCGGCGTTAGATGGCAGCTGGCAAGAGTATATGGCAAGTTTATACAAATAGCCGAGACCAAAGAAAATAAAAACTAACACGGGAAAACCGTTCTGAAGCACCTATTAGTGGCGTGATTCTGAAGCACTACTAGTTAATACAATATATTGTAACGTATTCCATCATCTGCCGGGATTCGTTGCACGTATTGCGTCATCTGCCGGCGCCCCCCGAACTGGACGGTTCCGGGTTATTCGAGATTCGAGTAGAAATATTGCGCACGTTCCTGATGGATCGAGGCGGGCGACGGCCCGGCATAAATTTGCCGCTGCCGGCGGACGCAGTCGGAAGTAATCAGCCGCAAGTCAGTGCATGTAGTCAGTGAATGAGTAGTCAGTCGGTGCAGTAGGAGAACAGCAGCCTGAAGTCGGAAGCTGAGCTATGAAGTGTGCATCGCGGTGAACAGCAGTGCAGTGGATCCTGATCAGCGCGATGGATTGTGGTCTGCGCGGTGGATTGTTGTCTGCGCGGTAGATTGTGGTCTGCGCGGTGGATTGTGGATTGCGCGGTGAATTGTAGTCTGCGCAGTGAATTGTGGTCTGCGCAGTGAATTGTGGTCTGCGCAGTGAATTGTGGTCTGTGCAGTAGACCGTGGACAGTGCATCGGACTGTGCGATATTGTAAAAGAAATGAACAGTGTAAATAAATAATCAGAAGAAGTGAACAGTGTAAATAAATAATCAGAAGAAGTGAACAGTGTCGTGTGTAAGGAAAATAATCAAGTGAAGAACATAAGGACTGTGTAACCTATCCGTAAGTAAATGAAGTATTTTAGTGTAGCATTATGAAACAAAATAAACGTTTTTGTTTAAATATTACCTGTGTGTGTTTTAATTCACCACGGAGAAACGTTACAATATGATGCATCATCCGCAAAGTTTCATTATCATTGCCAAACGCCGTACTTTTTTAAGATGACTTGAAGGTTGTAACAATTATTAATAGACCATTACCCATACCAAATCAATCAAAACTTCGTGTCATTGATTCCAGGAAATAGAAGAATTATAATGCCTTGCAATTGAACAAAACGATAAATACCAGCTTCAAATTATGTATTTTATGCCCCAGGTTATTACCTCTAATGGATTTGTTTTGAAGGATTGATAAATTGCGAAGGAGAAGTTTCAGCTGTATGAGAGCATTTCGGAGTCACACACAAGACACTGCTATTGGTAACCACAAATATCGGGCGTAAACTTAGTAATTTAAGCGGAGTCTCACAAATTTGGAACAGAAACCTGCTGGCAATTCTGTTGCTACTAAATTAAGGTTCTGTCTTGAAACTTCGGACCAGCCTGAGAATTTGAATATGCAATAATAATAATAATAATTATTATTATTATTATTATTATTATTATTATTATTATTTTCATTACTCTAATTCATGACCAAAGATGAGATTAGTTCTTTGTTTATAAAGTCTAAACCGGGTTTCTACCAGCATCCTAAGGAGCATATTTAGGGACTGTCGGTTCCTCTACAACACATTTGCGCAAAATGTGGGCTGTTACAAATAAAGTAATGTCTTGCACCTCGCAGCCTTGGGAATGATCCGGAAGTTACGTCAAGTTCTTAGACAAATTTTACGGAACAAATCCCAGAGTTGCGATAACTACGAGGACGGCCTTTGCTTTTAAGCCCCACATTCGGTTCATCTCGATTTCCAAACTCTTGTATTTAAAACGTTTCTCATCCCCCTTGGCTACGACACTTGACCTTGGCACAGCAACATCTACAAGTTGTCACGATATCTGGATTGTTTGTCGCTATCGTGCGATCAGTTTGAATTTGTCGGTCGTCTAGATCTGAACACAGACCATCAGACATTACCGGTTTTGGTGAGTGTTCGAAACCCTTGTAGCATGTGTTTGGAATTTTGAGGGGGGTATAGATTTCCCAGATAAATACATACCCTGTCGTAACTTTTCAGGAATTCTGTCTTTTCTAGAATTGGACAAACTGAGACGATAAGATCAATAGTTTCTACTTGTTCATGGCTAATCGGCGTTTGTCATCTTGGGAAATTTTGAGAACTGATTAATCATATTGTCGTTTTCTCAACACCTGATCTTGGGGAGCTATTATAACTGCTTTGATTCTGGCTTCATTCTTCCGTAGACGTTTAGTTGCACTGTTGAAACTCTTATTTGTAATCAGGTCGTGATATGTAAAATAATAATAATAATAATGATAATAATGATAATAATAATAATAATAATAATAATAATAATAATAATAATAATAATAATAATAATAATAATTACATTTATTATCCTATTCCATTTGTTATTTTTGTAAATTTGTGAAAATAATTTTGGGTTAATGAAAAATTTTGTAATTAAATTGACAGTTCTCATTGTGGTCGCACAAGTACATACGTAGAATTATATTGTGGCAACCAATTTAAAAAGCTAATCTTAAAGATAAGATAAATTTATTTGAACTGCCAATGCGCGTAACCCGGTGGCAGCTAATTACATAAATTAAATAGTATAGCTATCATGCAAATTACATAATAATAATATAACAATAATATAATAATAAAATAATAATGAAAATAAAAATAACATTAATAATAAAAATAATAACGATATAAAACTGTCTAATTCATCAAAAAATTAAAATTACCTTAAAAAAAGAAACATAATCAAACTCCGCACTGAATCTTTGTTCAACTTCACTTCACTACACTTTTCACTATGACTCTTTAATCATTTCTTTCATTATTTCTCTGTTCTACACTTCACGACACCTCACTTCACAATATGTAACTGACGCATCGCTCTATAACCTACTATTGTCAGCTAATTCCCTCATTTATATAGTAATAACTTCCTAAATTTTTGTACGCTACGAGGAAAGGGTTCAAAGGTTTTTGCAAGCAATGAATTTCATTCTCTTATTGTTCGATTTGTAAAAGAAAATTTCTCCACATCTGTTCTGCGGTCTTAAATTTATTTTGTGCCTGTGACCCCCCCTACTGATGTATGTAGGAATACTTAGCGGCCGATTCATTTCTTTCCAAGCTGGTTGACAACTATAAGTTTTATACAAATAATAACAACTTAATAACAACTCCATATGAGAGCGTAGGCTTCCGCGGCCGGAGTCAGTATTTACTAGGCTGTCCGCGTCCATGGCGAAGGTGCCGACGTTTCGGTCGCCATCCTGCGACCTTTCTCAGGGTGTAATGCGTAATGCAAGGAAGGTCTCAGAATGGCGACCGAAACGTCGGCCCCTTCGCCATGGACGCGGCGTCACCCGGACGGCCTAGTAAATACTAACAACTCCATAATTTAAATAATAACGACTCCAGCAATGAGGTGGCGGGCCCCAGCGGAGCGGGGCCGCTGGGCGCGGGGGGCACTCACCGATGAGCAGGTTGAGTCCGTCGGTGAGGTCCTTGTCGTAGAGCGTGAGCACGTGGCGGCCCTCCACGGCCAGCGGGGTGATGTCGAGCAGCGCGCCCGCCGCCGTGTCGCAGCGCTCGCGGCCCGCGCGGGGCACCGCGAACACCCGCGGCCGCCGCCTGCGGACACAGCCGCCGAGACGGGCGCTGCACACGACCACGACAAGAGGGCTATCCGCACGCGCACGCACCTGCGCGCACACACGCGCACACAAGCGCGCGCACACGCACGCATACACACACGCCTACACGCCTACACACATACATACACACACATTCACACACATACACACATACATACACACATACACACATACACACATTCACACATTCACACACATACACTTTCAACAAAGGGCAACCACAAACACGTGTACAGACTAAATGTGGCTCAGTGCATCAATTGCTATCACTGCAGTGCCACTAACAGAGAGGTCCTAGGGTTTGAGTTCCGACGAAGGCAGGATTTTCGACACTAACTCTACAGCTGGGTCGAGATCAGTTACTGTCTCCAGGAGCATACTACTGCTTGGATACCCAGATCGGTAGTTATTCGTAGATTATGTGATCACCAAGCGAATGATAAAGCAGTGCCCTAATAAACGGGTCTCAGACCGTGCGCGATTTTTACTTCCTCTTCCATGTCTTATCCTCACCCCTCATATAAACACACACTACCATCCATATCCGGAGACCCGTCTGGAGCTTAGAGCGTGTCTCTGCTGGGGCTGTGTCCCGCTGGCGGGAGACACCGGGGTGGGATAAAACTCCTTACAAGATGTGTACGTCGGCGCCGAATCTCACCATTCAGCAGCGACATCTCCACCACCTCCCAAGGAAATAACGTGCACTGCACGTATTGGTCTAATGAGCTTGGTATTTGATATACCCGAAATCATTAATGAATCGAAAAATGTTTGCAAACCAGCTCTTCAACAAACGTATTAATTGGTAGTAAAAAGTGTAACATTTCTAAACACTTGACTGAGGGTAAAGTTTTTTGCATTCGTTTTGTTTCATTGAGCCTAAGTTTCCATTTCATAGATCATTCCTCTATTTTGTTTAGGTGCTTTTGTATTCTGTTTTGTATTGTATTGCTTGAATAATTGGATCCACATATGTGATGGTATCATCAGTGAATTGGACGATGTTGGTGTTGGAAGCTACTGGGATTCAACTACAAATACGTTAAAGAGTGTGGGACATATGGAGATCCTCGGAGGAGACCTGCTTGTATATTTTTGGAGTTTGAAGTGAGATTGTCAATAGTAACTGAAAGTTCTGTCTACAAAAGTTCTGTCTGATAGGAAACTGGTTATTGCATTGAATAGATATACGGGGCTGGCTATTGATTTTAACTCGAGGCGAATGTGCCAGACTCAGTCAGAGGCCTGGGTTAGATCCACACATATGGTGCTTTTTCTGAAATGCTTCTTGGATGAATTCATTCACCCTTTGTGACTGATGAGAGGTTGAAATGTTGTTTGGTGTTGGTGAATCCAAATTGATGGTGAGGGAAAGCCTTGGTTTTTATTTGTGTGCTGTTTTAATATTTTAAGGACACAATTATCTAATAATTTGGCTGATGTGGGGAGGAGACTTATCCGTCTCTATCTATCAGATTTTTGTTGGGTTTAGGTGTAGGAATAATAGAACCTCTTGTTCAAAGGGTCAGAGCCTAATATGAAAGTTGAGTTGTGTTTGTTATTTATGAATGCTATGGAGTTTGATGAGAGTTTTTTGAGGATGTTGTTAGAGATTTTGTCATGCCCTGAGTATTTTTTATTGGGTGGCTAACTAATATTGGACTTAATTTCTTCAGAGATGGAACAGTTTATTTTGTTCGGAACGTTAAAATTTGGGGCGAGGGGTGTGTGATCGGGGTGACAGACAAGGATGCCGTGAGAATTAATGAGCAATTTTGTGCCAACATTCGGCTTTTTCTAAAAGGACGTAGCACTTGCCTGTAAGCGTATCTAATGAAAGTGTTACTAATCTTTTTTAGAATTCCTTTGGTAAATTGCCAGAGTATATTATTCTGGGTGTTTAACGACTGGATTATTTTATCCTAAGTTTGATAATTCTTAATAGTTTTTTTTGTGATGTTAATATATTTTTGTGAGGGGCTTTTTAGTTTTGATCCATAGTCTTAGATTTCATAGTCAGCATTACAGTCAGAGATCATAGATTTCTAGTATCGATTTAGGTATTTCGTTGCAAGTTTGTGAGCAAATTGAGCAATTAAGCTTATTGTGTTTGTCACTAAATTGTTTTGGGTGATTAGAATTTTGTATTAAGGTGTAGACTTAATGCGTGTGGTTTTCAAGGTTTTCCAATTTATATGTTTTCTATTCAAAATAAAACCGGGGCACTCAAAATTTATGATGTGCAATGTTCATACAATATTGTATTCACTGTCAATGTAAAATGTCATCGAAGAAACTTTCTGAAAAGTTAATACTTGGCAAATCTTTACTCACACTCCACAATTACGTCTTTTCACAAGCAAGGAATCCAGAATTTAAAAATCTTAGAATCTTACTACGTGAACTTGGCACCTGGCCTCAATGCAATATATTGGGAACCAATTTGCTCATAGCGATAGGCGAAAATAATTTTTGTGGTGCATCTACCAGCATAGTATTTCAATTATTTATTTTCCTCATTTGTGATGTATTAATCATTTCCAAACTGTGTAAGGACACTGCGATAATCCTGAAGAAAAGCCTGTAAAAATGTCGTATCTATTCATACAATACTTATTGTGGCATCAATGTCGGTTACTCGTTGTTGAATTCACTTTTATTAATACACATTGACGCTGGGGTCTTTTTAGAACACTGTAAGAAAAAAATTAAGATATGAAAGATAATTTTTATATTTATGAAAGCTCGACAAAGCATAACACATTGTAATAATATATAGTCTTAGTGTTTAGAAGTGAGTTTTTCCTTAGAAGTAAAAGAGCCTTATTTCCTAAATACATAGATATTACGCTATACACATACACATTTATTAATATCCTATTGATTTACGTATTGCAGTTTTGTTTTTATTTATTTCATTATACCCACACCAATGTCATTTTCGAAGAAACCTACCATAGCGAATAAATGCGCTTTTTACACTAGTTGGATTACTGAAAAAACTAATTTGTGGAAGCAAGAATTTATTATCTTTAGAAAAGCTACAAAATTTCCGATTAACACACTATTAACAGGACTACGCATAGTTGAAATTGTCAGCGAACGATAGGTTTACTGAATTACTTTAGCAGGGAACACGAACTCTAAACTAGAAAACTTTGGAACAAACGACGTTTCATGTGTAGAATATGCAATTCTGGTGTCCTTGTTTTCTCCCGCTATCAATTTTTTTGGATCAACTATTTTGTTATTCGGAACATCCGAAAACATGTGCATATTCCGTCGAGAACGTGATTTTCCAGCCAGTGTACTATGCGCCCGAAAGTTTGACCTTGCGCCTTGTTTATGGCCCTCGCGAAAGCCAGTCGGATCAGGAACTGCCTGCAGGAAAATGTAGCTTTAGGCAATTCGCTTTCGTAATATGTTAATGTAACTTTCGATGTTATTTTGTGGAGCCCTGCGTGTCCGCTGGCGAGAACAGGCATACTAATCATGGTTTTGAGTTTCGACGCTCGTGTTGCCGTCCACTATGCGTGTCGCGGGGAATGGATAGGGGGTGGAGGGACGCCAATCAGCGGCGATGTGAAGGGGTGAATAGTTCAGGAAGGAACGGAAAGGCAGACCGGAGCGGAGTGGGTAGAGGCGAAGTGGAGCGGGCAGAGTTGGAAAATAGAGGGCAGATGCCCTCAGTCAGTCAGTCGAGCAGTTTCAGGCGGGACGGAGCGGGCGGATTTTTGCCGGAGTATCTTATTCTGGGTGTTTAACGAGTGGCTCATTTTATCCTAAGTCTGGTAATAATTCTTAATAGCTTTTTGTGATGTTAATATATTTTTATGAGGGGATTTTTAGTTTGGTCCATAGTCTTCTACTTCGATTTCTAGAATCGATTTAGCGATCACGTCAGAGGCCGATTGAAGCGGACAGAGATTGGGCGGAAGGGGTAGTTGCCCTACTAAAGTGGCAGAGGCGGAGCGAGAGGGGCGGGGCGGGCAGAGGTTGGGCAGAGCGTAGCGGGGAGAGGTAGGGCAGAGGCGGAGGGGAGTAAGCGGAGGCGGGCCGGAGATGAAAGTTCCCGCACTGAGCAGGCAGCGGAGGGCGGAGCGGGCAGAGGCAGGGTGGATTGGGGAGAGGCAGGGATGGAGTGAGCAGAGGCCGGCAAAAATGGCAGAGGCCATACAACGGGCAGAAGTGCGGCGGATCCAACAGAGGCTAATTGAAGAGGGCAGAGTCTGGGTGGGAAGGGCATTTGCCCTACTGATCTGGCTGACGAGGGGCGAGGTGGGCGGGGCGGGCGGAGCTAGGGTAGAGCGTAGCAAGAGCGATGGGCAGGGCGCAGTTGTCACAGGCGGAACGAGGGGGATGGTTGACTGGGCCGAATCCAGATGAACAGGGTGGGCGGTGGCGCGGAGCTGTCACGTGGGTTACGGGATCGCCACGCGTGCGCTTGGCTTACGCGTTTACATCCGCTGTCACTTCAGCTGGCCCCTCTCATCGCATTTCCTGATTGTTTGACAACAGCGTGGACAGAATAGCACAACTAGATTGTTAAACCAGAAATATTAAATGTGTTATTTGTGGGAAGATGTTAAACAACTTCTGACTGATTGGTGTTGCCAGTTAGAGTAGATGTACATCAAGTAGCTTAGCACATTTTACTTAGGTAGAAAGAGAGGTGGGCAGAACGCAGTTTTCACTGGGTGGAAAAGGGATGGCTGACTGGGCCGAATCCAGATCAATTCGATGGCACTAAGTGGATATACTGCCTAAGTAAATTAAAGCGAAGTCATATTTACTTTATTATTCTTCGTGGTAGAGCATCTCGCACTATACATTTCACCGGTGTTGATGATATCCTTACTCAATTTTCATACAATGAGTTCCTTTCACTAAATAGCTCTCAGGCAGTCGCCGCGTGCGGACGTCCTTCGAGGAGCTCCTCGAAGTGAAAGGCAATGGGCGTGGTGGGCCTTGCTGTGTACCGAGTGCGCGTTGGGGCATGGACTGCGTGTGCCCTTCCCGGTCGGGTGGCTTCGGCGCAAGGGGCGTTCTCGAGCTTGCGGGAAGGAGGCGGCGTGGCTCTACTTTGTGCAGCTCTTTTG